AAGCTTGCATGTCCATGACAAAGCAGAGCCAGAAAACTCCTGTATATTCAAGTGATGTACAAATTGCAACGCCATCTGATATGAATCATTGTTATTACACAAACTGGGCGGTATAAACGAATTTTAATTCTTCACTTCTTATTATTTCATATCAAAAATCTAATATAAAGAATCTAAGAAAAAAATATGATCAAAATATATCAACAATTATTTAATTTAAAATTCATAAATTTCATAAAAGAAAATTATAAATTTAAATATAATTACTAATTACTTACATCAATAATAAATCACATAATTAAAATTAAAATCTAATAATTTAATAATAGTATATTAAAATATTAAAAAGAAATATTAAAATAATTTTATTAGTATAATTAATAATATTAATATTAATATTAAATTGTAATTTCATTACTATCTACATAATTATATAACATTTAATAGAAGATAAATTTTGTTTAAAGTTGTATTCTTTTCTGAAATTAAATATATTTTTTTATCATTTTATAATATCATTTATAACAATCATTTAAACAATAAATTCAAATTAATATGTAAAGATAAAATTAGTTTATAATAAATCTAATCAAATTTATTCATAATTATCTTAAACGTATACAGTTTATAATTTATAAATAGTTTTAAGAAATAATATTATTATAATAATTTTTATCATACCAATGAAAATGATTAAAATTCTTGTTTTCATTTTTTCCTTAAATCTTCATCCATCTGTGATTTATGATTAAATGATATCTTCCTTTAAAAATAGCTATTATTATAATAAAAATTAGTAAACTATTCATTACTATAATAAGTGATTTGTTTTTGAAAAATTAGTCACATTAAATATTACATATATATATATATATATTATCTTTTTATCTGAAAATGTATTATTATATCTAAGTTTTTTTATATTAAAAATAAAAAAGGTTAATTTACTATTCAAAATATAATTTATTTCTATTTAATTTGCTTATATATTAATTTTAATAAAATAATATATCTTTGTTTCTCTGCTATTTTTTTTTAATATTTCATATACTATTTAATACATTAAATCTTACATAAAATCATTTATGTATTTATATAATAATAATAACTATTATTTGTAATAATAATATAATAATAATTATTATTATTATATATATAATTTAATTAAATTTTAGAAAAAGTCATAAAAAATTTTGAATTTTTATGTTTTTATAAATTTTGATATCCAGAATTCAAAAATAATAATTAAAAAAGTTAATGTATAACTTAATAATTTAAAAAAATTGTAACTTTCTATTTAATCATATATTAATATACTATTTAATCATACATTTCTATTTAATCATAGATAAAATTCCAATATGAAATTATATGAATTACAAAAATTTTATCTATATTTGTAAAAAAATTTTTACAATTTATCTAATCTCATATTGGAATTTTATCTAATATATGATTAAACAATAGTCAGTATCAAATTCAAATTCATTTAAATAAAGAATTCAAAATATATTATCATCAATTTAAATTAAATTATGTTCTAATATTGCCATTTTATAATGATTGAGAATTAAATTTTAATTTAATTTATATTAAATTAACAATAAATTTGTATATTATTTATGATAATATATATTTTTTATTGAATAAATAATTATATATTATAATACTAATTGCATCATATGAAATTTTTCAATTGTACACTGAGATTTTTATTAAATCATGGATCAAATTGAATAAAAAGATTTAATATGTCATATAATTCACAAAAATGCGACACTCTACACGTAAATAATTTTTAAATCATTAAATTCAGACAATAAATGACCTAATTTTCAGATTTTATGTACAAATCTATAAAAACATTTAAAAAAAAGAGTTTAAACATTATAATGTTTGATTTCTAAATTTTAAAATCAAAATAATCAATATGTTAGAAATATATAATTGAAAAATGATTTTTTTTTTATAGAAATTGATATAAATATATTATTTTATATATATATATAATATATACTTTATATATAAATTTATATAAAAAAATAATTATATATATTATATTTTATTATATACATTATTTAACACAATAAATTATCGAATAAATAAAATCACATAATCAAAATTTAAAAAAAAACGATAACTTTTAAAATTCTGATAAAACTATATTTTCACAAATTTCGTGGAATTATTTGTTATTAATGTTAATATAAATTGACACACACAAATCATTTTCATGAAAATTAAATATATAGCAAAATTTATATCGATAAAGATTAGTATATTTTATAAATATTTTATATTTTGTTTCATATATTCAATATTTAAAATTGTAATATCTGTCAAACTATTTGGTTAGTTCTAAAGACTCGATTTGTTAATCAATATAGATAGCAAACAATACATGTAAAATTATATTAGTAATAATAATTTATATATTAATACTTATATATAT